GGCAAGGGCGGGTGCACAGGGCCCGCGGCTGTGCAATTCCAGCATGGGCAGCGATGCAGAGGGCTCCTGGCCGCCGTGCCAGCCGGAGTCGATGGGCTTATACAACAATCAGAGCAGGGATCAATCGCTCCACCGCGGGCAGGGCCCCGCTGTGTTGGGGTTCCTGGGTCCAGCCCCCCCCCCTTCCCCCCCCAACCCTGTTCCCACGGTGCTGGGAGCAGCCGCCCGCCCCGCGCTGATGGAAAATCCGATGAGCTCATGACGAGCGTGCTGCACGGAGCCACAGCTGCACGGCCCCGCTCCCCGTGCTCCTCAGCCCCTCCGTGCATAGTGCAACGCTGCCACTGTGCATAGTGCAACGCTGCCACGGTGTATAGTGCAATACTGCTCGGTGTATAGTGCAACGCTGCCACGGTGTATAGTGCAACGCTGTCACAGTGTATAGTGCAACACTGCCACGGTGCATAGTGCAACACTGCCATGGTGTATAGTGCAACGCTGCCACTGTGCTCATGACGAGCGTGCTGCACGGAGCCACAGCTGCACGGCCCCGCTCCCCGTGCTCCTCAGCCCCTCCGTGCATAGTGCAACGCTGCCACTGTGCATAGTGCAACGCTGCCACGGTGTATAGTGCAATACTGCTCGGTGTATAGTGCAACGCTGCCACGGTGTATAGTGCAACGCTGTCACAGTGTATAGTGCAACACTGCCACGGTGCATAGTGCAACACTGCCATGGTGTATAGTGCAAGGCTGCCACGGTGTATAGTGCAACGCTGTCACAGTGTATAGTGCAACGCTGCCACGGTGCATAGTGCAACGCTGCCATGGGCATAGTGCAACGCTGCCACGGCTCCCTCTGGCCAGCCTGGGGAGGGGGGTGCACCCAGCAGGCTGGGGCCCGACCACAGCTCCAGCCCCCCCCGCAGCTTGCCCAGCCCCTCGCCCCGACGCTGCCCCCAAGGAGCCCAAAATCGAAGGACAATTACAGCTGTGGCTCAGGCACTGCCCGGCCAGCGTGGGCTGACGCTGCGGGAAGTTGGGTGCAAACAGGATGAGGACGGCAAACAAACCCCACCGACATCTCCGGGCAAAGTACTGTGGGGGACACTCCATCCCACCCACTCCCCACCCCTCACCCCACACCTCCCTCCTCAGGCCTTTGCCCCCATCCCACCCTGCTGCTCCGCACGGGGCTGGTTTGGGGCAGGCACTGTGGCCGTGGGGGCTGATGTGAACCCCTGCCCCCAAAATGCTCCAGCTGAGCCCCACTGACTCTGGGACACTGACACGGCAGGAACCCGAGGGTGAGGGTCTGTCCCTGCACCCAGTCCCGGATCAGACGGGTGCGATACCAGCCTGTCCCCGGCACCGTGCCAGGGCAGCCACCAGCCCCCGAGCATCTTGCCGTGGGGCTGGCATCATGGCTGGCCGCAAAGCCCCACTGCTGCAAGACAACCCCTGTGGGTGCAGGTGACAAATAGGCCAGCGATGGGCTGAGCCCTGCCCTGCCCTGCCGCAGCCCGCACTCGCTTTGTAATTATCCCAGGCCACATCTGTAATTAGTGCCCTGATGTCATGGTGTCAGGCCTGGGCAGCCCCACACGCTCCCCATCAGCCCCACCTCGGCCCCTGGGCCCTCCAACGCTGTCCTGAGGAGCTCCCGCCTGGCTCCAGCTCCCCATCGCTGCTGGACCCCGTCCCAGCCCTGCCCCATGGCACCCGAGCTGCTGTGGGGCCGGATCCGTCCCTCTGGCTGGTGCAGGGCTTGGCTGTTCCCACTGCTGCATCTCCGTCCCCTGCCCACTCCTGGCCACGCTGGCCCTGCCGCTGGCTGCACGGCCGCCCCCCTCCCGGGCACAGATCCTGCCTGGGCAGCAGAGGGGCCAGCCCTGCCCTCCCGAGCCCCCCAGGCTGGAGACAAAGGCATTGCTGCTGGACCCCCACCCTCTCGGCACGGGAATGTGCTGGATCGGCCACGACAGATATAAATAGAGCGGGAGGCGCAGGCGTGCACCGCACGCGGCACGTGTGGGTCTGAGCAGCCGCTGCCCCATGGCCGGCATGGGGCTCGGGCAGGGTGTGGGGCTGCAGCAGTGCCCCAGGGGGGGACCGGGATGGGAAGGAGGGTGGAAGCCCCAGGCAGGGACAGGGGCACTGCCATCGCTGCGGGGACGCTCCCAGCCCTGTGCCTGGGGGACACAAGGGGAGTCCCCACACAGCTTCCCCGGAGCAGCACCCAGCACTTTATTGTGTGGGACAACCACGTGGCACATGGGACCCCCCAGCACCCCGGGCTGCACCCCACGGTCACCCCCACCTCTAGCACCCGCGCAGGGGCCGGGCTGCGCCGGTGACGGTGAACCGGGCGCTCAGCACCTCCGAGGGCGCCCGCGTCTGCTGGCCTGGCTGCTGCCCGCCGGCGAAGAGGGTGAAGGTGCCGGGCTCGAGGTGCCAGTCCTGTGCCCAGACGGCACGCTGCTCCGCCACCACCTGGAAGGACAGCTTGGTCTCCCGGCCGGCTGGCACGGCCACGCGGCGGAAAGCCACCAGCTGCCAGCGGGGCACCGGCACCGACGACTGCTCCCACTGCAGGTACAACTGCACCACCTGCCCGGAGGGACGGGAGTCAGCGCCCATGGGACCCCCCCCAGGACCCCAGATGAGACCCCGGCTGCCTCCACACCCCCCACAGCCACACCGGTGCAGAGCAGCCGCGCTCACCTCCTCGCCATCCCGCTGCCCCGTGTTCGCCAGCACCACCGAGACGGAGAGGTTGGCACAGACGGGCAGCACCGGGGGGCTCAGCACCAGGTCCCGGTACTGGAAGGTGGTGTAGGACAGCCCGTAGCCGAAGGGGTAGAGCGGGGGATCCTGCCCGTAGTACCGGTACGTCCGCCCCTCCATGGTGTAGTTCTCCATCGGTGGCACCTGCGGGACAGGGGGATGGTGGAGCGGGGCAGGGCTGGGTGGGCACAGCCAAGCACCAGCCCTGCATCCCATGGCTCCCCCGGCCACCGAGGGCTACGGGTGCCACTGGCTGCCCTGGCCTTACCTGGTGCATGCCTGCGGGCCACGTGGCTGGCAGTCTGCCGGCTGGGTTGGCCCCTGTCTCGCCCAGCAGGACCTTGGCGATGGCGAGGCCGGTGGCCTGGGCAGGGAAGAAGCAGGCCAGGATGGCCCCCACGCCCTCGTGTGCCTGTGCCCAGCTCACGTCCAGGGGCCCCGCGTTGAACAGCAGCAGGATGACGGGGCGCCCGGCGGCTGCGGGGAGATGGCTGTCACCAAGAGCCCCGCACCAGTGACACCAGGACGGCTCTGGGGTGCCCCATGGATGGGGAATGCCTGGGGCTGTTGTGGTTCCCCCTCCCTGTGCCACATCCATCACACCACCCCTCTGGGCTGACCCCAACCCACAGGACCCCACAGCCAGACCCCAGGTGCCCACATGATGCCCCGGCCGGGAGCCAAGCCCCCCCAGAGCCCCTACCCGCCTGCACGGCGTCCTGCAGCAGCTCCAGCTGGTGGCCTGGCAGGGACAGGTCCCTCCGGTCCTTCGCCTCCGTCTCCACATCCGCCCCTGCACGGGGACAGCCACGGGACAGCCCCTTACACCCCACCCGGGCACCGCAGATGGATGTGGTAGAGGGGCACCGACCGCCTTGGGGGCTCGATGGGGACCCCATTCCTCCCCCGGAGGTGCCCAGGCTGTGGGGTGCTCCCCCTCTCCAGGCCGTGCCCACCCAGTGCCCTCCCCGCTCCCACCTACCTGTCCCCAGGCAGACCACCACGACGTCGGCCGCCCCCGCCGCAGCCACCACCTCTGCCCGCGAGTACGGCTGGCACCGCGGCTCCCGGCAGCCCGCCGCAAAGCTGACGTTGGCCGGCAGCGTCTCCAGCCCTCTCCTGTGCCGGGGAGAGCAGAGGGGACAGGAGCTGCTGTGCCCCGGGGTCGGGGTGCCTTGGGGAACCCCCCCTTGCCCCCACCCCCAGCGAAGGGTCAAGTGGCTGCAGCAGCAGCACCGGGCAGTGCCCGTGGCTGGGGCCGTGCCCCCCAAGTGCTGGCACCTGGTTCCTGCCCCACAGCGGGTGCCGCATGATGTTCAGGACGGGGCTGAAGCAGCTGAGCCCAGTGTGGTCCCCGTAGCGGCCGGTGGCAACGAAGTCATTGTGCTTGGCTCTCACCTCGGTGGCGGTGGCGTTGGCCACCCGGTAGATGAGCTCAGGGCTGTGCGAGGGGTGGGCAGGGGTCAGGGGACACGGAGGGGTCCGTCCTGCGGGGCCAAGTCCCGCACTCACGGATGCCCCGCCCCTGCACGAAGCTGCGGGCCAGCTCCCCACTCAGGAACGGGTCCTCCCCGTAGGTCTCCTGCCCAAGGGCTCGATGGGGACCCCATTCCTCCCCCGGAGGTGCCCAGGCTGTGGGGTGCTCCCCCTCTCCAGGCCGTGCCCACCCAGTGCCCTCCCCGCTCCCACCTACCTGTCCCCAGGCAGACCACCACCACGTCGGCCGCCCCCGCCGCAGCCACCACCTCTGCCCGCGAGTACGGCTGGCACCGCGGCTCCCGGCAGCCCGCCGCGAAGCTGACGTTGGCCGGCAGCGTCTCCAGCCCTCTCCTGTGCCGGGGAGAGCAGAGGGGACAGGAGCTGCTGTGCCCCGGGGTCGGGGTGCCTTGGGGAACCCCCCCTTGCCCCGACCCCCAGCGAAGGGTCGAGCGGCTGCAGCAGCAGCACTGGGCAGTGCCCGTGGCTGGGGCTGGCCGGCAGCACCGCGCTGGCTCACCGGGGAGTGTAGATGTACCGCGGCTCCGGCACCGGCGCGTAGTCCCCAAACAGCACCCGGGGGTTGTCGGCGAAGGGACCCACCACCTGCAGAGGGCAGAGGGGTGATGGTGGGCACCGGCAGCCCTGTGCCACGCAACCTTGCAGGTCACCCCTGTGTGCCCGGGGTACGGAGCCAGCAGCCCCCGGGTCACCGTGTCCCCCTGCCACCTCCGTTCGCGGTGCTCACCGCGAGGCGTTTGCCGGGCAGGTCCTGGGCCCGGAGGGGCAGCGTCCCCCGCACGTTCTTCAGCAGCACGAAGCTCTTGACAGCAGCTTCCAGGGAGAGGTTGCGGTGCTCGGGGCTCTGCACCACGCTCAGGTCCAGGGCACTGTAGGGGTTCATGGCCGGGGGGTCGAACTCCCCCAGCCGCATCCGCGTGTAGAAGAGAGGCCGGACCCGGTCGCGCAGCATCTGGAAAGACCCCGGCACCCAAACCTCGGTGGTGCTCAGAGGGGGGGGGCAACCAGGGCTCCCTGCCCGTGCCCCCCACTCACCTGCAGCGTGATGTTGCCCGTGGTCAGAGCCTGGGGGATGTGCATGAAGACGTTGTTCCTCATGCCGTAGGAGAGCTCCAGGTTGCAGCCGGCGTTCATGGAGGCTGCCGTGCCGGAGAGAAGGGAAACGGCCCGTCACAGCCGCCTGGTGCCCGGGGACCCCGCGCCCGTCCCGCCAGCTCACCGACTGCCGTCTCCAGGAAGGTGCGGGTGTAGTGGTGCCCCAGCATGATGAGCTCCAGGGCCCCCTCGTCGCTCACCACGTAGCCCTCGAACCCCCACTCCCCGCGCAGGATGTCCGTCAGCAGCTTCTTGTTGGCGCAGGCGGGAACGCCGTTGATCCTGTGGGAGAGGGGATGGGGCAGCCCACCTGCCCGGCCATGGACCACCCTGTGGGCACCCCCCGCTGTGCCCGGTACCTGTTGTAGCTGCACATGAAGCTGTAGGAGCCGGCTTGCACGCACGCCTGGAACTGGGGCAGGAAGGTGGTGCGCAGGTCCCGCTCCAGCACCTGCGAGCGTAGCAGCAGAGAGGGCTCAGTGCCCGGAGGGGCTACCAGCCATCCCACGGCCTTGCCACACTCACCTTGGCATCAAAGCTGAGCCGGGAGACAGGGATGTTCTCGGGGCCCCCGTGCACGCTGAAGTGCTTGCAGCCGGCGCTGGCCTTGACGTAGCGGGGGTGAGGACCCTGCAGCCCCTGCACGAAGCTGCGGGCCAGCTCCCCACTCAGGAACGGGTCCTCCCCGTAGGTCTCCTGCCCAAGGTGCAGGTTGGTCACTGCCGGGACCCCCAGCCCTGTGCTCCCCAGGGAGCTGCTGCCACCCTCCAGCCGGCCACCCACAGCCCTGCATGTGCCCCCCAAGTGCTGGCACCTGGTTCCTGCCCCACAGCGGGTGCCGCATGATGTTCAGGACGGGGCTGAAGCAGCTGAGCCCAGTGTGGTCCCCGTAGCGGCCGGTGGCAACGAAGTCATTGTGCTTGGCTCTCACCTCGGTGGCGGTGGCGTTGGCCACCCGGTAGATGAGCTCAGGGCTGTGCGAGGGGTGGGCAGGGGTCAGGGGACACGGAGGGGTCCGTCCTGCGGGGCCAAGTCCCGCACTCACGGATGCCCCGTCCCCTGGGGGTCCATCCCCGAGGGGTGGGGGGGGTGTCCCATCCCCGGTGCCGGTACCTGAAGGCGGCAGCGAGCCCCAGCGCCTGGGGGAAGGCCGTGGCCCAGCCGGGGGCCTCCGCGTCGCACCGCAAGCACTCGGTGTTCCAGTTGTAGGGCCCGATGCCCAGCCGGGGGATGGGGGGCGCGGGGCCGTTCCCCATCGCTCCCCCCCTCGCCACCTGCGGGGCAGCGGCGCTGAGCGAAGGGGGATCCCCCGGGGGGGAGTGGGGTGGGGGGGATGTCCCGGGGCCGCCCCCGCCGCCCCCTCACCTGCAGCACCAGCTCGGCGGGGCTCAGCCGGCCCAGCAGGTCGTCGAGGCGGCGGTGCCAGGGCAGGGCCGGGTCCTGGAAAGGGAAGGAGAAGGCGAATGGCTGCGCCCGCCCCGGCCCGGAGCACAGCAGCAGCACGGCCACGGCCCGGAGCCCCGCCAGCCCCGCCACCGCCGCTCCCGGGGCCGCCGAGCTCCGCCGGGCGGGCGGGAAGGGGGGGGCGGTTCGGCGCGGCATGGAACGGGCTGGGAACGGGCTCGGTTCCCGGGATCGGCCCCGGCCCGCAGCTCCGAGACCCCGGGCGATGCGGGGCGGGACGGGGC